CCCCCTCCACGAATCACAACTTGTTGGCGGGAAAATTGCAACCTTCTTTTCTGTTCTTCTTCCTCTTATTTTCCTTCCCTTTATCTCGATCCTTTCCTATTTTCCGTCCCGTTCCTTCCTTTTCTCTTATTTTTGTTGATGGGGGAGGCGAGGCCCTTTCGCCCGATCTCCTTCTTTTTCTCCATTTCTTTTCTTCTTCCTCTTCTTTCTTTCCCTTTCTCTCCTTTTTCCCTTTTCCTTCTTTCCTTCTTTCTCTCTCTCTCTCTCTCTCTCTTCTTTTTGCATCTTCTTGGAGCGAGCCGGGGAGAGGAGGATGGCGGTCACCGGCCCCCTGGACGGTATGGCCCTGTTTCAACTATGTAAAGGAAGATGAAGAGAATGAAGGAAAAACCGTAGCAAAAAAAAAAGAAGAAAACCTCGAACCTGGGTCGCTTGAATGGGAGGCAAGTGCTTGGACCAAAATACCAAATATTTCCCAATTGACTTTACATGCAAAGCTGAAAAACGGCCTGGGCATAGTCGCTATTTCAACTTTCAATTGAAAATTTCGACATCATCCCGACATCTGATCAAAACCTGAAGGCACATTAGCACTAGCCCATAGTCTCGACCATAACATACCAAAACTTCGGAGAAAATAGAGCACAAACAACCGAGATACTGCTCAAAGAACAATGTCATGTAGATTCATGACGTGAACGAGATTCACCTTCCATAGGCATAACACGCAAATTAAGAAAATTCTAACATCGCCTTTAAGCGAAATTTTACCTATGATGATGTCATCAAAATGAAAAATGGTTGATTTTATCTGGTGGAAAATTGTCTCAGCTACAACATATCAACATTTTGAAGAAACTCAACCATCTTTGAGTGAGATCTTGTAAAATATCAAAATTAGGACATCATTTTTTTAAATTTTTTCAAAACTTCATATGCAAATTTAAAGACGGCGCGATCGATTGGCCCCCCAATTTTATTCATGAATTCCAATTTACAACTTATAGGCTCTCAGAAAATGAAAAAAATGGGGGGTCTCTAGCCTTTCTGATGAGCTATGGCGGATTCAAGATTGTTACATTATAGGCGGTGGTCACACACAATTTTCCCGATCCAACTTGAATTAACTAGATAATAGTTAAGTAAATAATTCACTTACGTATGTGACAGACAGGCTCCGAATTATCTTATAGAGATATCGATTGCTTTGAGAGGCCTGGGAACGGCCAAGTGAACGTGCGTACATCCTGCCATGACCCCAACGCGCTGAATGATGTGCCTACCGGGCCATGCCCCTTAAATTGTAGGAGAACGGCACGCCCAGTCAACTGTTTTATATTTTTAAAAATCATTTATTTCTTATTTGTATTGTTTGTTTTTTCTTCAATCAGATGATTTCTTAATAAAGTATAGGCTTAGTAGAATATAGTGTAGATAACTTTTGACTGGGAGATGGTGACCTGTGAATGATGTGCCTACCGGGCCGTGCCCCTTAATTTGTAGGAGAACGGCATGTCCAGTCAACGGTATTTTTGAATTTCTTTCTTTTTTTATTAAAAAAAAATATTTTCATATTTGTTTTGTTTGCTTTTTCTTCAATCGGACGATTTCTTATTAATGTAAGGCTTAGTAGAATTTAGAGTAGGTAACTTTTGACTGGGAGATGGTGATCTGTGAATGATGTGCCTACCGGGCCTTGCCTCTTAAATTGTAGGAGAACGGCACGCCCAGTCAACTGTTTTATATATCTTTTTAATCATTTATTTTTTATTCGTATTTCCACCCCCCCTTCAATCAGATGATTTTTTTTATAATGTAAGGCTTAGTAGAATATAGTGTAGGTAACTTTTGACTGGGAGATGATGACCTGTGAATGATGTGCCTACCGGGCCTTGCCCCTTAAACTGTAGGTTAACGGCACGCTTAGCTTAGGTTTTTTTTTCTTTCTTCTCTTATCTGTAGTTTTCTTATAATAAATGTACTGTTTTTTCTTTAATCAGATTATTTCTTTTTAATATAAAGCTCAGTATGATTTAGGGTAGGTAATTCCTAACTGGGAAATGGTGACCTGTGAATGATGCGCGTACTCGGCCTTGTCCCTTAAATTGTAGCGGTATATTTTTTGGCTGGTGACCTGTGAATGTAAGGCCGAGTCTCCTTCTTTAAACTGTAGGTAAACGTCACGTATAGTCGACCGTTTTATTAAAAGTACCTGTAAGTGCTTATTTGAAGTATGCAGGTGTGTTTTATGAAAAAGCCTCCAACACCACTGTCACTGGCAATTGATCAACAACCTCTAAAGCAATCCACGTCTGTCAAATTGTTAGGAGTCCATACCCGCTGTGATTTAAAATGGAGTGGTCATGTTGATTTCATGATAAAACGTGCACATGGAAGAATACACCTCATTAGGATCCTGAAAGGTCACGGACTGCCAATCGAAGATCTCTATACCATCTACACCGATTTCCTCAGACCCCTCGTAGAGCAGCGGCGGATCCAGGGGGGGGGGGGGGGCTGTTAAGCGAATTTTATGAATTTTATTAATTTGTATATATTTGTACACTGATTTATTTAGAAAATTCATTCACTGCGTGATATGTCTTAAAGGTACTATGTCCCATTTGCAGGCCAAAAAAAATGACAAGGTTAAATTCCAACGGCATTTGAAATATAACACTAATTTAGAACTTCCCCAAAAAAGGTTTGGGCTTGAAAAATGTCTTAAAGTGGGAAAATATTTGTTGTCAAATCGACTTAGGAGCTATAGAGCCACTAAGTAATAGTCTTCATTTTCAGACCATTGTACCGAATGGCCTTACGCTTTATGCTGCGCAAAGATTCAATCAGTTTAATTTTGGCCATCACAAGAAGTGGGTTATTGATGTAGACACATGCTCATGTACCCTTTACAGCTCATTTTATGTATGTTATTACCAAGAAAAAAAAGCCAGTCAGTCACTCATTAGTGTCTGACAGTGAAGTCTAGCAAGTAAACGGGTTTCCTTGCATAATTTGAATATTAGGACACTGCTAACGTTTAAATTTCACAGATAGGACATAAATGACATATTCATAATTCCTGCAAAGTTCTACAGAATTTGAGGTTGGCTGCAAAAGGGACATAGTACCTTTAATACGTTTTATGTTTGTATAAATATTTTTACAATGTACAAAGTTCTGCAATTCAGCCATCTGGCTGCAAATGAATTTTTAATCAAACCATTACCATTACCATTACCATTTTATTCTGTATCAAGCTTTTAAGGCTTTGTAGACTTACGCGTAGGTAATCCCTGGCTGTGGTTCCCAAGGCACTCCTTTATTCTTCGTGTACGAGAGAGAATAGTTTTCTAACGAATTACAGAAATAGGGGCAGTGCAGATTTCAAGGGATAGATTAGAGTTTATATTGCTCAAGACGGCTATCTTTAAGTTTATCAAGGTTCTAAGACTTGAGAGCGCCAGGGGCTCTATTCCTATATAGAGCACGAGAGCGTCCGCCCCCTGGACACCCCCCCCCCGAGCGCTCCGAATATTTGTAATGGTTGTATATTAGGTTTATCGAAAAAGAAGAACGAATGATTCTCTGCAGGCATATTTCAGCGGTGCTTTATTTTATTTCTTTATTTGCCCTTCGACCCAAAATCGTGACTTTTTGCCCGATTATTGCCGAGGGGACAAAGGCAGCCAGTCTCGCTTTTACTTGAATTAAAAATGCCTTTACTCCCATGTGTAAATAGAAATGAAGTAGTTATTAATTATATGTGCACATAACATGTCATGAATTCAATACTATCTTTATATTTCTCTTTTTTGTCTCATATCAAAATTATTTAATTGATATAAAGAATATTTTCAGTAATTCATTAATAAATGGCCAGGCTGGCGTGTAAAAAAAATTTGCGCAGGCGGGCGGGGGGGGGGGGGAGGGGGGCTACTCCCCCCGACTTGTACGTTAAGACCATGAATCAAAGATCTTCGAAGCCTTAAAAAACAAATTAAATATTCATTTCTGTTGCACCATCTTGCCCTATTGTTGACCCAAATACTACCATAATCATTATTTATTTTTTTCATCTCACATTTTTACCTGGCACCAAGTATAATATACAGGCTAATGAATAAATAAGAGTACGTAGGATACTTATTTGCCCCATGTGTAATATGTATATATCCTGTGATAAAAGTCCAAAGCATAGGAGCATGTCGTGGATAATATGTACATTATTAACTAGATGTTTTGTTTTGTTTAATTTTGACCAACTGCAACATTTTTTTTTATAAAAAGCCCATATTTTGTTGCTATACATTTTCTCGGTATATATAAAATTTGCGACATGTTAGGCAGTGCAATCTCCTCGGAAAGGGTTTACTTTCATCTCACACCTCACTCTATTTCCTTGGGTTCTCAGATAGACATATCCCAAAGGGAACCACCCTGTTCCACACTTGGGCGATAAAGCTTCTTTATTTCTTCTTAATATTTTTGAGAAACCCTCGCATCATACAAGCGGATTTGGGATATGGATTTGGGATATGGATAGTATAGCGGCACTGGTATGTCCATGGTCAAGCTACCAACCATTTTATCATCGAGTACTTGGTACTTACTTGGTAGCTAATCCTCACAAAAAAATCCCTGTGGAGTTTTAACTGGAGGTGGTGGTGGTAAAGAGTTGACTTAAAGGGAGAAAGGACATTCCAAAAGGGGTGCCTTAAAATTGAGTTGCATGCATCCGGTATAGTTAGACAACTATTGGAAGACGATTCTGTTCCAAGCTTTGATCGTTCGAAGGAAAAAGAGTAGATCTGTGATCATGAGGGTCGAATCTTACGGATAATATTGGATGACTATTTCGTTTAGGTTGAAAGACTGAGTGGGGCACTTTAAACCAAAAAATAACGGAGCGGAAACTCAAGCAAAAAAAATAGTCATTAAATTTTAACTGCATGTATTGAGAACCGAGAATTTTGGTTACAGCGCCACCTTTCGATTGAGTAAATATAACCAGCATAGATGGCTGAATGGTGTTATTGTCATCATCTTGCATTACTATGCGGTATACGGTACCAGATTCTAGAAAGAACATGGCCACTTAAAAATCTCGACTTGGGATGTATTTATGGACTAAAATCACTGCAATATGAGTTCGGATGATGCAGCTAGCTCAATCACCAGTGGAGGTGACTCTACATCTTCAGGAGCAATTGGTAAGTGTGCGATATTGGTTACGATTTTCGAGCTATTCTTTGTGTCTTGTTCCGATGTTGTAACTTGTAACGGGATGGCCTCCCACCATTCCCCCGTGCGTACTCGCCTACCAATACAGTGAGATGGGTAGTTATAGAGCGGCGCCATTTAGTCGTATGCAAACTTACACATGTACATGACCAAGATGACTAGGCTAGGCTACTCTGTTCATTTGCTGTGTATTGTCAGCTTCACGCTTAGATATAGCCTTTGCATTGTTTGTATTGCAGAAGTGTTAGAACTTAGACTGAAAGTAAACATTTGACATTTGCCAAGTCAAACTGCCAGATGCGGGGGATTAACTAGCCAAGTTTGCCCTCTGGTATTTCTTTATTTGCCCTCTGGTATTTCTTTATTTAGGCTGAACAGTTTGATATATGTAAAATGATGATTGGAAAGAACATAGATCTAATTTCATTTATTATAGGGTCTAGTCTTTAGAAATAAAATCAAAATATAACTGTCCGTAGAGCTAGGTATGTGACTATCGCGCACATTGGCTTGGTTTCAGCTAGACCGAAAGCTTCAGTCTCTATACCGTCGGTTGTTCCACTGAGACTACGTCTGGCTCCACTAGACCTCCGGTTATAGAGACAGAACGATCGCCTATGCCAGCCTATGTTGAAGATATCACGGCTAGATTTTAGCCGTTAGGCCCCTCCCACAAACATGAACAAACTTGCCACGGCCGTATTGTTATGCCCCCAAAATCCCCCAAAATGTCATTTTACCTCGTGCATATCCAATTTTACATTAGGCCTAGGCTATAATACATCGGTTCCACTTACTAACTTGATTGAAATAATCCGTTTAATGGTCCCTTTTAAGGAAATTATGGGTCAAAATCGACATCCATGTTGAAAATCTTGCAAGCCGTGTTAAACTCTCGCTGCCGTCAATCTCATCCCTTCTAGTCTACGCCGAAGGCAAAATGATTATGAAGGAAAAACTGTGCGCCATCTACACGTTCGTAATGGCGTTATCACAGTTTTTTCACAGTTTGTTCATGTTTGTGGGAGGGGCCTAACGGCTAAAATCTAGCCGTGATATCTTCAACATAGGCTGGCATAGGCGATCGTTCTGTAGTCTCAGTGGAACAACCGACGGTATAGAGACTGAAGCTTTCGGTCTAGGTTTCAGCGTGCCTGGCAGTGGTTTCACGCCCAATACGAGTTACTCTGCAGGGTTCCTCTTTGATTGCGTGTGGAAACGGCGGTTTCTCGCCAGATTTGGCTTGCTTGTCTGATGACGTCATTGGAAAAATTTCCTTTCGCCTCGACTTCGAATTTTCAGAAACGGACATGTGAAAGTGCATTTTTGTTCAAGTCAAAGTTCAATGTCATCTTTACCATCGTAATCTTCCCTGAAGATAAGTTTTAATAGTTCTAAAACTAATTTAATTAGTTTATTTATACATTTTTCTCGTTACTTGATGAATATAAATCAAATCGGAACATACAATCATTGTTTTTTTTACTTCCTCAAAATTGATTGTCAGGAAATTACGGAAATTTGTCTGTCTTTTTGTGGCAGTGAGTTCATTAACAACTAATTAGCTAATTAATTTGCTAATTGCTAATTACTAATTAATTATAGAAGGGTCTATAGTACATCAAATAATACAATATTGGTTTTCTTCCCCTATCAGATGTTTTTTCCTTTAGAAGGTTTTATCTAGAAAAATGAATAATTTTTACATTTTTGATAAGACCATCCTTTATATTGGTCATGGTCGGTCACAGATTTTGAGAGGTCTCAATGGTAAAACAATGGCGATAATTAAATCAGATTTTTAATCTTAAAAAAAATCATAACTCGCTAAATATTTGTCCTAGAGCTATAGTTTATATACCATTTTAAATGGTTTTTCAAGCCCTTTCCAATGATATAAGATACAATGTAATCCCACAATTTTTATTTTTTTAGTCACATACCTAGTAGAGCCAGATGTAGTCTCGGCTAGCGGAATACCTTTCAATATCAGAGACTGAAGCTTGCGGTCTAGGTCATATTGTTGTAGCGTGCCAGGGTAGCGTTCTGCCTCGCAGTCTTCTTCTTCTTCTTCTTCTTCAAGATAGTCTGCCTCCTTCAATACTGAAGATTCTTGCAGATGCTGTATATGCATGTACACGACCTGATTGGGGTGTGCAGGTGGACCACTACACCGGGGTGTCCCCCTACTCTTGCAAACTCAGCTGGGGTTCGCTGGTAGACTCTCGGACTCTTCTTTCTACTCATTCAAAGCACTTTGAAATCGGTCAAGAATTAAAACAAAATTATGGAAACTAATAAATGGAGCAATAGAGCTTTGCTTCACCTTCACGTGTTCCTGATGATAGTGAGCTACATTGATATTACAAAAACGCTGACCTCTCACAAAAGTTCACAAATACTTGATCTTATACATTAATAGTGACCAAGGTCAAACAATAGTTAGAATTGACTGGTTCCCTCTATTTAACAAACAACGAATTTTGTTTTGTCTCTCTCCAGAAATACCATCGTTATCATGCTTAATTATCTTTATTGCATTTGTATCAATGCTTATTAGTTTGCTTATTCTGTTCTTGAGGTTTTCAGCTTTCCAATGAATAACATCATTGAATGTGAACTTAAAGTGTGAGGGCTTTAGATTTATCTGAATAAAGGATTTATTGGCAAGCAACTGAGCAAGAGGTCTTTAATTGTTTAAAAGAAGGTTTAAATCTTAAAAACAAAAAGTCACCAATAACTTACCGGTAGTCTGACCTGTCAAACCCTAATGTTGCCTTTGTCTGACTCTGACATGGGTATGCACTTTGAGTTTGATGTGCATGGCTGCATACCCAATAACTACATACATGTATCTACATGTAGTTCCCAAATTTCAAGTTTACGGTGCACTCTAAAATCATCGAGCAATTTGATGTTTACTCAAACTGAAATTTTTTGTCTTGCCCTTTGCAGTCCAAATTTGCATAGATTGTTCAAAATTTAACCAGTGTTTATGTATATGTAGGCATCAAGATAGTTTGTCATGATAGATGATACATGTACTTGTATGAAGTGTCAATGGAAAGACCAGGATTCACTGAAGAAAAAGCAGTAAATAGGGAATTAGGGATCTACATTTAAGTTGTTAATTAGAGTACGGTAAGCCAAAAAGCATTTCAAATTGCATACATGTAGTTCAGAGGCCTGATTTAAATGATAATTTTGTACATGTATGTATCCAGTGCCCAAAATCTCAGTCCGGACCGGACCCTAAAAAAAATTAAAAAAATAAAAATAAAGATTACATACGTGTAGGGCTTGTAACGTATGTACACTCTTAAAATTTAAAATCCGGACCCCCTTTCTGAAAAAAGTTAGTGTTGAGCCCTGCATGTATCTAGATGGAAAACTTAATTTCATATGCATTCATATAAAAAAGGTATTGTAAATATGCCATTATGCCCTTTACATGTATTTTCAAGGGCAAATTGATTCTTCAATACAAAAAAGATTTATTTTTTATTTCCAGCATGTTTTTGTTCTTAAACCTTTCACAATACATAAATATATATATTAATCACAGGGACAAATTGTTACCGATACTGCACAGACCATTTTGATTTCATGCTCTTGTGAACATCTGATAGACATGCTTACAATTCACTCCTTTCAGTCACATTCCTATACTTGTTTCCATGACGATAGTGAAAAATGCTTTCATTTTCTGTATTTTCCATCCATGAGTTATAATGTATACTCGTAAGTGTGAGATCAGTTCTACATCAGATATGAAACACAGATTGATCTCTTCTAATGGTTTTGATCATGAGAAAGATTGAGAACCTGTTCACTTTGTTGTACTACTACTTCTGTTACTACATGTACTACTACATGTACTGCTACTACAGTACTACTACTACTTTCACTCTACTACTACTACTACTACTACTTCTACTACTACTGCTACTACTACTACTACTACTACTACTACTACTACTACTACTACTACTACTACTCTACTACTACTACCACCACTACCACTACCACTACTACTACTATTACTGTGCTACTACTACATGTACTTCTACTAGAGGTGTCGTGGACGAGTGGATATGTCACCGGACTGTGGATCACAAGGTTCGCGGTTCAAGTCCCACCGCGGCACTAATGTCCTTTGGCAAGACATTGATCTACATTTGCCACTCTCCACCCAGGTGTTAAATGGGTACCTGGTAGGATGCGAAAGCGAATGTGGTTAGATTAGCAAGTGTGCGCTTGTAAAAAAAGACGCCTGGCTGGAATGCTCCCCAGGGAGTGGAGAATGTGCATACATTGTGTGAGGGTAAACCTGAATCCTATGACCAGGGTAATAATATGACCAGGGTAATAATATAGCGCTTTGAGAGGGCCTTCAGTCCTGAAAAGCGCTATATACAGTAAGAATTAGCTATTATTATTATTATTAGTACTACTACTATTATTACTACTTCTTCTACTACTACTGCTACTGCTACTAATACTACTACACCTACATGTAGTACTACTTCTACTATTATTATTACTACCAAAGATAATAAGTAATGATAATAATAGTTCATGTTCATGACAAACAGGATAAGTTGTTTTTAATCACACATTGCTACAATATGGTGGTCAACTTGTATTTTAGGGCATTTATAACTCAAGCATTCTAAATTCTACAGTATATGAGAACTATTATATTGTATCTTTGATATGACACAATGACAGATTTTATATCAGATCTCACTTTGACTGTCGCAAACAACATTAACCAAATGATGAACAAAAGTATAAAGTGGACTGAATGAAAGTTGGTGTATCTGCTGCTGTTGGGCACAGTCACATACCAGTATTTTCTTCCTGCTCAGTACATTACTCTATAAGGTATGGATGAGTCATTGTAAACAAAAGCCTGGACATGGTCATTCATTGATGGCCTGCAATCCATTCACCATGTCCACTCGTA